GAAATTTTTTGCTTGGAAATGGCCTCTTTCCTGGAATCTCCTTGCGGCTCCTTCACAGAAAATCTTACTTGTAAAGGGAGATGCCGAATTACAGGCCAGTCTTACTACAGATATTCTCTAACAAATGTCCTCTATTTTCTACATAGACACGATAGTAAAGAAAATGTGGCTGCAGCAACTGATTGCACCGCTCTTGTTACCTTTACAGCCCTGCTGTAGTGAGTGTCCGAGCAGATAGAACTTTTTAAGAAAGCAGCTTTGATCAACAATACTTACTGCGGGCCATTTCTAGACAAGAAGAATGTTGAAATTATAGCACTACTGTTCGTAAGTAAACAGTAACCTTCTTCCACTAGACCGACAAATGATTGAGCATTGGACAGAAGGCGGTCGTGTTCTAAGAATTTCTTTAGACCTAGAAGATGTGACTCATTTTGAGAATATTCCATTCTTCTTCTTGAACTCTTGAAGCCGTCGACGGCTGCCTTAAAATTGGCGATACCGACCATATAAGCTGCTATCGCTCTCGTAAAGAGCGATGCCCATTTCAAATTTCAAAGCAACAGCCTCCCTTAGATTCGATGTCAATGTTTGCAGGTGTGAGTTGCGATTGGCTCGGATGTCAATTTCAGTTACATAACTGCTTTTTTAGGAGTAGCTTAATTCCAACTTACCCACGCTTTTTTGCGGTTTCTCCCAATTTTTTTATGTGGTATATTCGTTCGTGATGAACCGAAATCTGCTCTTCACACTTGACGGCTCCTAGCTCCTTTTTCTGCCGATCGGCACTATTGCGCTTTCCAGGCGCATTAGTTAAAGCTAGGAAAAAATCTTTCGAAAAATCTGAGGCATACCACTTTCTCCGATACATCCCTCTCCAAAGCGACTGAGGCCTACAAAACATCCTCCTCATCCATATCGTCCAAGTCACGGTGAGTCTATACGCATAATTTCACTTTCTTCAGCTTTCAGCTTCCACATCCAGACAGCCTATGCGGCTTTGAGCGGGATCGAAGCCAAGTAATCTGTAACTTTTGCTGCTCCCTAAAAGAAGCGCGTGTCCTCTCGCATGCTCGAATTCTTCCGCTAGGCTTGAAACAATCACCTCGGAAAAGACATATTTGAAGAGTTGTATTAGGGTGAACGGTAAAAAATGGGACAGCTTGATTTTCATTACATTTTGAGATTTTTTGTCCTCACCAGTAACAAGCAGGCTGCAACTCAAACGTCGCTTACATAACCGACCTTCGCCTATTATTCTGGCAACGCGTTACCGCTCCTCTCTCATCACCGTACGAGTGGCGTCGTGAAGAACTCGCACGGGGTCTTTTGAACAACTCTCAATCTTGCACTGCTATACCGTAAAGTCGTAAAGCAAATGACATACCGTTCGAAAGAGCTTTTCATGCTCTTTTGAACGATATGTTAAATGCCTAAGATTTCTTCTCAATTTCAGAAAGAAGAACGAAAAAAAACCTGAAAATAGCTATTTTTGGCGCAATAAAAAACCAAAAAATCATGTTTTGCCCTATATTTTCCGAAGATAGATAAAACCTGAGGTAAGTTGCATATGGATGGATAGATCGTAAAAAGATCTATCAGATGGTACATAGAAAACATGCGTTCACTTGCAAAGAATTGAATAACGCGTATCTTTGTTCTCGAAGCTGATAATGGCCATATTTCCTGACTTTCAAAGTTGAGACCACCAAGCCGTCGTGGAGTTGGTGACTGTCCCACCACCCACTCCAGCAGTGGTACTTTGGGTGGTCTCACATGTTTCGATGCGCAGATACTGCTCAAACTTCATAATTTACCGAAGTGACTAACTTTGCATTTCAGCAAGTATAAAAGTTATTAATTATGTAAATGACCTGATATAGGTATTATCTGAAAGAGAATAGCATATTCTAACATCTATCAAAACTGGGAGATCTAATCGCTTCTCTTTCTTGAGAAACCTCCAACTATTTCGTAAGTGTCCCATTTTTTACCGTTCACCCTAATATGTTTACCCTTCTCTCTGTTCATTGTTAGATCCTAGAGTATATGCGTAGGCATACATTGCGCCTAGTTAGATACTTATCCTCTTCCTGTTGTGACAAATTTTGCTCTGTGTCGTGTGGTGCGCTTCGGTAACCACTGACGAGTCGAACAAAGGAGTTTCTTCAACAAGCACTGTCATTGTGAACTCGATTACGGGCTTTGTAGCCCCTGAAATCCTCAGAAACAGGGCTCGGCATAGCTGGCACCGGGTTAAGCTGGATATCGTTTTTAGGACAGAAAGCAAAGAGGATATCGTTTTTCCGGGGTCCTGGGCGGAGAAGAGCTGCAAGCATGCCACCAGCATGCTACCGGCATGCTGTCCATCAAACAAGCAAAGGCGTTGTTTTCAGACAAAACGCAACGGTATGACACCAAATTTGGTGTGTGAATCGCGTTGGGAGACCCGAATTTTGGCCCATAAATTTATGAAAACTTACTTGAATGGAAGCTGTGCTGAACTTTTTTCTGAATTAGCTGGCATCGTGCTAGCGGGTGCCAGCTGAATTAGCACCGACACTTGGCTCACATAATTTTCATACTTTTTTTACGTAAAATGTATCTACACTGTGAAAGTTTACATACAAAGAAACAATTTTATAATGTTTTCTCTTCAGCGTTTTATAGCCATCTGAAAATTACTCGGTCTGCTCCGCAGTCTAAAAACCGGCTTTTTCTGCTTCTCAAGATGTGAATCAACCCACTTAACACGTTTCGGACCGCGAAATCGCGCGCGGCAAAAAAGAGTGTACTTTCAGCTGTTAGCCTACAAAGGGACCTTATTTCGCAGCCTGTGGGCCACATTTGTAATCAGCATTTCAGATAAGCTCCATACCCAAAGTTCTGAGTGAATTTGAAGTGTTTGAATTTTGTCGCTTGAGAGGGACTTTTGTGTTTTCTTGGAAGATAGGAGTAAGAACTCAGTTCCAAATAGTATCTAAAAGTATGTATGTTGTACACTGTATTCGTCACTACTGAAACTACGGTTTATCTCTTTGAAAGTGGAGCAAAGAAAAGTTGCGACGTCGCGCGCGTCGTTCGCGTTGCCGCACTTCGTTGCAAATGTTGTTCGATTTGTCCTCATATCTCCTAAACAAATATACGCGGCACAGCTTTACAAAGTCAATTGAAAAGAAGGAGCTTAGGCCTTTGACTTGATAACCTTGGACAAAAAGAAAACCTCCTGTAAACGTTAAAAAGAGCCTTCAAAGCCGCGTGCCGCACCATGTGCAGCACCGGTCCGAAACGTGTTAAAGGCACCGTCCACCCTAAATTGGGGGTTTTGAGCTTTTGGCAGCATATGATAGTAGGGCCCCCTGTCAAGCCAATGTCCAAGTCGCAGCGCAAAATGTCGCTTCGGAAGCAAGAAAATCGCTCCCGAATAAGGAAGATGCACGGGGACCCCCATCCATGCCCGCCCATTTGTGCGCGCCTATCACCGTTCCGAAAAGCCGGCCTGTAAGTTCTCCGGAACGGGGATTGTCGGGGTTTTCGCGGATTTTCGATTCATATTCGGAATCAGGGACATGAGAAGGCCCTGAAACGACATAAACTGGAAGTCAAGAATCTGGGTGGATGGATGGTGCCTTTAAAATGCTCAGAAAGCGTGAAGAGTTGTTCCATGAAATCAGCATGCGTAAAAACTCACTACATGCTTCTACATAATCTAAAAAAATGACAGGTCTTCAAAACAGGCTAAAGGGGACTTCGTACGCAATTTTCAAAATCAAACGAGACTTCGGTTTTAAATTTCCCTGGTGCCAGCTCGTGCGGAACCCTGCTCAGAAAAGACGTGTTCGTGGCATTGGGGAAGAGAGGTAGAGGAACACCGCAAATGGGCGCGACGGCGGTTATGGAAATTCTTTGACGTTTCACTGGGAGTGCTCTACATGCCGTGCGAGGTCCAGCAGTGTATATCGTTTGTTCGCTTTTGCTAGAGTAGGCGAGCCTTTGCGGACTGCCGCCGGCGTCGCGGTCTTAATGCTGGGGCAAAATCGATAACCGATGAATCGATAAGACCGCGACGCCGGCGGCAGTCCGCAAAGGCACCACCTACTCTAGCAAAAGCGAACAAACGATACGCGGTTTATGACAAGCAAAGACTGGGCGCCGTCGCGGCCAGCCAAGATAGTTCGTGCAAGGGAGAGGTAAGAGACGGTAAGAGAAAAGAAAGAGCGCTCGAGCAGAGGGACGCCGATAGGTCCGCAGTCTCTGCTGCTATGAATCACCTATAGAAGACGGCGCCAGCTACCAGGAGAAAGCCCGAGGAGATTCGCGCCACTGTAAAATGGTGCGGATTATGGAAGTGTGTGGTCCTGAGCAGAACATAATGTTTCGTGAAATTGCGCAAAGAGGTCCTTTGAAGTTATCTTTACAACTCCTCTACTTGTCTTCGCGTTGTCTTCTGGTGTGGTTCATTTGGGGTGGATATGGGAAGGGAAGGAGAACCCCGCTTTGGCAGAACGCTGCGTCGAATACCCATGACTGGACACCAACGCGATCCGCTGGGCGGGACCAGCCACGGGGCGGGATTGACGCTCCATAATGAGGGTCGCTTTGGCACTTTTTGAGATAAAAAGGCACTGTACTGAAATTCTACAAAGCTCATATCAAGAACCTCTGCTTTTTCAATTTGAGCCATTCGGAACAGAACACAACTTTGCCTCTCGAAATACTGTAATTCTTAGTTCTCGCATTAGTCATACTATGCTGAAGTTTTCCTCCGTTTATTGAAGTTTAAATCTTATTTAAGCCGAATTTCCTCTTCAATTCGACTTTTATCGTACTGTAGCAGTGTGCTTGGTGAAGCTCAGGGCGGGGTGTGCAGAATTGCGTGCGCCATCGTTCAAACCACTCAATTTTCCGTTGAATATTGCTTGCGGCCATTGCATTGTGCCGTTTCATCTCTTCCACGTGCTTGTCAGATGTTATTCATCAAAAATGCAATTTCACATGGTTTTTTTATAGTACTGGACGTTCATATTCAATCCTGGGTCGAATTTTGCTTCACCTTTTTTTGTTCTTACTCGCGGTGCAGGTTATGCCAATCCGCAACAAGCTAAGGAAGTCGAACAGCGCTACAACGGTGAGTTTTATCTTCTTTTCCGAGTGAATTCAAAGCAGAAGCTGCTTTTCTTCTTATTTTCTCCGATTTCACCCAGTAATCTTCTGCCGTCACCTACCTTTTTTGGGAAGATTTCGCAATGCCCATTTTTGGTCTTGTGTTGAGCATCAGTCTTATGGGCAACTTTTCAATGTAAGGGGACGATCAGAAAATTTCTGAATCGGACTTGAGTGGAAGTTCAAGTTTTGAAGTTGTATTTACATACTTATCGACTAATCATGGATTTCTTGTGCAGAAGTGCATTTGTACTTATTTATGTAAATATAAACAATCGATACCGGTATTCAGTTTTTTTCCTTTCTTTTTATTATATGTGGATGGGAATCTTACATCTTTTCGACCATGTGCGACAATTGCATGCTCATTTTAATTGAATTGCTGTTTTATTTGTCTTTATCATGGGAAGAGCTTGCAGCTGACAATGAAGTTTATTACTTTTTAAGAGCTAAGGTCAAATATACTTGTATTCAAATAAGATGGCTTGAATCCGAAAAGAGTCCGTTTTGTTATAGCAAAAGCTGCAGCCTATTTGTGCTTATGACACCATGACGTAGCATGATTACCTGGTCAAATAGCACGGAAAATCCGTCTTTACCCTTATCTGTTCCTAATTTATTGATTGTAGCGCTCGCCTTAGTAATAATAGTGTCTAGCTAGTATGCGTTGCGTTTTGCGTTGCTAGCTTCGGGATTTGTATTTTTTTGGAAAGGAAACAACAGTTCTCAGATAGTCGCCATTTCTAGTTGTACTTCTTCGCGATCTGGGTGAAAGGTGCTAATACTTCTACGTATTTGTAACGGATGCGCAATGAATATCTGCTTCCGTAGCCTCCTGTTTGCGACCGCTTCCTTCTTGCTGCTGCCGCTTGTGCCCACTTCGCATAAAGTTATGCTCAAATTGTTTCGGAGACGCGCATCGAAAATCTGCTCCATCTCATTTGCAGTGACGCCTCTCAAGCGGCTCGAATCTCGCGTGACCGCCTCGCCTGAGCTCTGCACCGCGTTCATCGTGTCATCTGGCTCGGGCGATCTTCCGCTAGTAAAGCATGGAAAAATGGCCGAGAATACGTTCGCGAACGCGGCGAGCCTATGCGAGACTGTTGTGCGGACGAGCCGCTCGGGACGGCGCTACCAATGAGACAGATGATAGATGCCAGCGAAGACAGTATACAGGGGTGTCACTGACGACACTTATTGGAAGCGCTACCTTATTTTCAGATGTGCAATTTTTTGTTCCTAAATTGAACAGCCCAAAAACTTCGCGACCAAGGGACTTTATACCGTGCTGCATATTGCCTGATAGAGTCGTGCAGCACATAAGGATAGCTTCCCGAAAATGGTGAAGCGGCTGGTTCGCTTAGAATTTCGAAGAAGGTGCGGTATACACCTGAAATTAGGAGATTGTTGAGACTTCATGCGTTAGCATATGGGTCTAGTGGATTTGATGGCTAAAATATGCCATGATTTTCGACGCCGACGACATACTTGCGACATATAAAACGGTCATGGGGCACTCTGTCATCGTTTACGCGCAGATGTCAGCAATACGTGAGCACTGCCTTCAGCGTCAAATCTACTAGGAATGTTTTCTCTTATCACACTGGAGTGATGCTAACTCTCTTGAGGAAAGGAGTTGTAGCGTTGGCACCGTACCAATAACAGGTTCGTGCAGCTCTGGTCCTGCATAGCAGCTCCGCTGGGCTTTGCGCTGCTTTGCGAACCTATCCTCAGTTTCTTTTCCCGCGCCTGAGCAGTTATTGAAGACTGGCCGGCGTGAAAGAAAAGCCAGAGGATAGGTTTGCGAACGAGACGCAAAGCCGAGCGAAGCGACTGCGCGAAACCGAGCCGTATGAGCGGACGACACTTAGGCAAATGGGTCAGTCTTGTGGAGTAGGAATCCACATATGATAGCCGCTCTCCGATATGTTCGCGTGGCTCACTTCGCATGGCTTCCACAGTCGTTTGGATCAAAGTTCATAATGCCACTTTCATGGGTGTGAACACCTCTCGATTTCACAATGTGCGTGTTATGTGCAGTTCCGGCGCTATGACAATCAGTAAAAAACAAAAGGCGCACGCGAAATTGTTGGAACTCCTAGGTTTGCGGCGTTTTACAAGGTGACGATTTATTTGCTCTGGTAGACAATCAGAATCACTTTCAACAGAGGGATGACTTCAGTCGTACCCTTCGCAAAGAAATGAGCAGACGGGTTCTTAAATTACCTGAGTATAGGCTAGTAGATCCGACTGTAAAATAGTGTCCCTGCGGTGCGGGTATTCGCTGGCAGTAGTTCCGCGCCAGCGATTTGCTACGCTTGAAACGCCGTTAATTTACGCATGCGGAATTACCACAGAATGGACATCTCTGAGTTTTGTTCTTCTCCACGCGCAGATGTTGTCGACAGATGTCGGAGGCGCAGGGACACTATGTTTTACCGATAGAGGACTGTATATCGCCGAAAAGGAGGTAGTCCTACATGGTCATCTCTGACAGACCATGCAGCCATACAAATTACGACATAACAAATTTGTGTCCTCGTCAGCCGTCCACGCGGGTTGGAGCCTATCGGCGACATGTAAGTCCCCTACCCTGCTTCACCATAATCTATTATCCTATACATAGACGTTGATCGACACCAGCAAGAAATTTGCCTGGGTTTTATCACTGGGAGTCCGAAGGGACCACGTTATCGCTGCACTTCATCATCTTGGGCGGAGGAAACGATTGCCACCGACAAGCGTGTCTGCACCATCGGTTTTCACATGCTGTGCAGTAGCTTGATAAAGAAGGTCCAGTTGTCCGTGGGGGCGGTGTCGCAATGTTCTTCCAGCTCTTTCTTTTCCTCCTTCCGACGTTTCGCAACAACGAGAAGGTGACAGCACACTTACCTTCACTAATTTGAACTTTTAGGGCTCCCGGGAAGGTAAGAAAATTTACCAGTATGATCTCTGCGCTGTTTGAAGGCGCTTTGGGGTTCAGCGCTTGGCCCAAAAAACGTAAAAAGGCTGACGAAAACGTGCTTTGACAGCTGCAGTGTTATACAGGTTGTCTCAGTGAGAGTGTCACAGCTCCGACAGTTGGGGCCCTCGCAGCCGTCTCGCTCGGTCCTTGCGACGCGTTCGCGCATGTATCCTCTGAGCATTTTGACGCTCCAGCAGCGATAGGGATGCTGAAGCATGGTAAAATGCTCAGAGGATCGCGAACGCGGCTCAAGGTCCGAGCTGGGCGGCTAGAAGCGCTGAAGCTCTGACACTCCTGTTGAGACAACTCATATAATAAGCGGAGTCCGTAGCCGAGTTACTGCCCATCAGCATTCACGATATCTGGATTATGTGAATTTTGCTGAAGGTATATCATCTATCCTATCATTCGGTACTGCGCTTTGTCGAAGAGATGAAAGTGTGCAGGGTGAAGGTGCAGGTATGGCAGCTTTGCAAGTACAGAACGTAGTGGTAGTCTCTACTGGCTTCGTGATGCTAATTTTAGCACCCATACGAAATCGCTGTTGAAGCCCGGATCGCTACTGACCGTTGTTTACAAATTAGTGGAATGTGGATAATAGTGCAATACATTCCATGGGGCAATATGCAGCGATGCGAAAACAAATGAAAATGACAGTATTTATTGGATATGCCAAAACACGCGAGCGTTATGATGACCAGATTGCCACGCATGTTTTAATATTCATCTGCTTTTGCCCATCTTGGGACGAGAGCCCTTGAAATTGATCAAAATAAATAAGTTGAAAACCGTGTTGCGAAGCGGCACCAATTACCTCGTACTTACCGTAGCCTGTAGAGCAATTAGCTGTTCGCAGTAAGTATTAGGGTTGATTTGTTATTGTTTTTGATGAGCGAAAGGATTTATCGGCGCATTCACACACACAAACCGGCCACTGCACTTGTGCGAGGAGCGTTCCTGCCAAAATGCGCAATGCGCTAACATAGCACTTGCATTTCTTCCACTATGATTATAATGTTTTCTTCCCTTACCTTTTGAAGTAAAAATTGCCAATTTTCAAAATAAAGGCGGCTTATTTTTATTCTAGATGCTTGGATAAAAATGAATCTTGCAGGCATCCGAGTGCTCGAAGGAGTTGAGGGACCTGCCGGACGACGACTACAATCAGCTGTTGGCCTCGGTTGCTAATTGGCCAAAAAAGGTGTTTATTTCGGTGCGATTCACTTCCTATTGTTTCTCTTTTTTATTTTCTTTTCTTTTTTGTCACGTTTTTCCCTTTGTGGTGTGGCGGTTTAGCGCAGACTTGTTGCCTAGCGAATGCCTATGCTTAGTAACAGTGTTTGTCATTTTCAGTTTATAGAAACTTTAATAAGTGTTATATTGCTCCCATAAGTGCAATAGGATATATAGTATCAGTATTGTTGGTGGTGGTTTTGAGCCAAGGGCAAATCTGCATACATGTGGGGGGAGATGAACAATGAACTATCGTATTGCATTTATATAAATGCTTTTTGACTGGTATCGTTCCAGGACTCGGGAGTTTTGTCTCCTGGGGCGGGAGCTGACGAAGGGAAAAGCGGAAAGAAGTTGACACCCGCAGCACAATCTTGCCTTGATAAGATATTTGACGAAGTTCGAAGTGTGTCCATCGGCGAGCCCGATTTGGGTAAGTTTATTTTCTTATGCATTTCTCCTCCACCCCTTGTAGTGTTGACTTCACATTTCAACACTTTTATTGCACGCTTTCACTCAAACTGGACATGTTTCATCTATGCAACGTTTGATATAGCTCCCAAGAGCATATTTTTAGGAACATTTCCCGAGTCATCTTCTTTCATGTCAAGAAGGGTTGATGCATACTCAGCTTTCACCCCAACGAAGAAAAAACCGTGAGTGTTCATCTCATACTGGTTACATGCGGAACTATATTTGTCTAGTAGTTAATACGGCTGTTCAATCATTACGACGAAAAGAACATTATGAGGTCATTTTGGCCTATGGCGAGCTCATATTCCATTGTCGCTTTTGATGCCTGCAGTACATTCTTTTAATATATTTTCATCTGGTAGATGCAATGTACTAGCTTTTAAACTTTTTGCGGTACTTGAATAGCTAATGTAATAATGTAGAATTCATAAATGTAGAAGTTCCGCTCAAAGTGTTGATCCTGTCGGTGTGTCAATTTTGGAATTTTAGAGTGCGTTACGAAAAAGAAGACATGAAATACATTGATGAAGACAAGTAAGTTGGTCTTGCTGCTATTTATCATCACTTCTAATGTTTCTTTTGTTTTTAGCGATGTTGAGTTGATGGATTTGAGTGGAACAACATCTACTCGTACATTTATTCGTGGTAATCGTGAACATACAGCTACTGAGTACACAGACACTGATGTCGAAATGGGCTCATCGCACTGTATCGATGACAGCCGTCACAGTGTTTTGAATGGATGGAATGAGGTATGTAATGAGCACTGCTTTTGTACTCTTATTTGTATCCATCAATAAGGTTTAGTTTGCGTAGAGTAACGTTTTGGTGGAATTTGACGGCTGTTTTGCAATCGCTTCGCATTTTTTTTGTGACCAATCTACTTTCTTCTTTGCTTACTGGTGTTTATTGAGCACTGTGACCAGAGCACGCTTAGGCGCGCATAATCAAGTGCTTTCATTGACATGAGATAAACTACTTTGTCTTTACTACCTGCCTTCATAACTTCATTACTTTTTTCAGAAGGCCCTATTACGCAACGGTAGACTTTTGAATCAAACGCAAACAATTTTAGGACCACGTAAGCATTTTTTAGTTTTCGTGTGGTTGTGGTAGTTTTTCGTGTTACCCATTCATCTATGTTTAAATTGATTTTTTGTTGTTTACATCGCATCCGGGCGCCTGCGCATCACGCACTTCGTTGAAAATCAAAACAACTTTTATGAGTCATTTTGGTTCGAGACACTCTATCCGACTTCTCTTTGTGAAAATGTTAACACTTTTTCTTTTTCGTTGCACCCACTTTTTATTGCTGCTTATCATTGTGTGTAGATGCGCTTCTTCCCCATTTCAGATAGTGAGGGGGCGTTTTATCCAATAAAATCGTTTGTGGATGGAACTGACGAGATTCCGAGTTTGACACCAGTATACGAGATGCCGCCTCATTCCAAGTCACTGCTACCAACTCCACAGGAAGAGCTATCAAGTCCAACTGAGCCTGTGCAGCATCAGGTGGGTTATGGTCAAATTCGAGATTCCGAGGTATCTAAAACCGGCGTTCTCTCTTTTTGTACGTACCTGCATCATTAGTAGGGAAAAGCATAAAATGGAGGCCTACGAAAAGCAGTTTTTTTTGCTCTGCGAGAGACTTGGGTTTCGTTGAAAAGTTGATTTCTTATCTCATCACGATTGTCTCTATGGTTTTATTGCATCGCGTTGAGCTTATTGATTTTTATTGAAAGAAAAAGAAAAGGTTTAGGTTTTCTAGAATTCTTCTTAAAAGTTCTTTTCCCTAGTTCTTATTACGTTTTCTTATCTCATTCGGTGTTCTAGAACCGAATGATCGTCGTATTTTTCACTTATGTCATCAGAACGTTCGTTATCTCCTGATAAGGCCATTGTTCAATATGTAGAAGCCACCTTTTACCTGCGAGCCTGGCGTTGAACTTCCTCAATGTTTGCGGTCACTCAGAACGGAAATTTTCCTTGGAGTGTCTACCATTTTGCTTTTCTAACAACATCTACTTGAACTTGAAAAAGTGTTCTTCACTTTTTTGTTGGGAATTATCACCATTTTTCTAATCTCAGTCCAGGGATTACTTGTCTCTTTCTATTCTCTGTAAGAGGGGTGTTAGGCATCTAAATCCGGTTCGATTTTCAATACCATTACATCACTGTTTCATTCGACATATACTATCGCCCGAAAACTCTCTCGTCCTTCTGGCTTCGTCGCGGTCCATTCTTGCTGAGTTTGTAAATTTTAAGATGATGCTGCAGTTGAACGGGTTAAGTATCCCTTTTCCATTGTTCGACTTGGACAAGTCTGAGGTAAGAGTTTTAATTACTCAACAGTACCTTCGTCACTTTCTTGATAACTGATATTCTTTTGCAAATTTTGCCGCAGATCTTTTGAAACTCGATTTATACTATGCTCAGTTTGCGAGCGCTTTCAGCAAATGCAGCGTAATGACATCAAATTAGCTTTTGCGTTATCACCTTCTCGAAGGTGTGCAATTCTTGTTTTTCGTTACACGAGACATTATTGGAATCAAAATCCTATACACCTACAAGTGCTGAGTATAACCATCTTTCTCAATGGTTGATTTATCACTTTTTTCTCTTTGGACTCTGCTCTTGGTTACCAAAGACATATTTCTCAAATGCGAGAAGTAAAGACGATTGGCGGAAATGTCTGTGTGTCCGTGAGTCATGGAAACGCCCACGGATGACATTGTTTCATAAATGCGTCATGCATCGTTGATAGTCTTCCTAGCAAAAGTCACGAATCTTCGAGGGGCCTTGCATGTGCGTTTTTTCCTCACCGAAGAAGTTTATCTTTGTATCGAAGTCGTTGACCGACACACCAGACGTAGGCGCTGGCAACATAGAGACGGGGGCGGTTCGTGGGCAAGTGAATGAATTGCAGAACATTCGTTGAGCGTTATCAATTGCAGCAATAACAAACACAGCACACTAACTGCCGTTGTGAACACACTTGTCTCGGCGCCGCTTGCGGGGTGCGAGTGCTCGCTCGTCTACATCTCGACGCAAGCAGCACACAGCCAGCCAGCACACGAACAAGTTGCGCTTTTCGTCGACGCCATGGTCTGGCATGAGTCGTCCGTCGTGCCGGTGGTGGTGGCTCCTTTGCTGCGTTTGTGTGTGTGTGGTGTCTGTGTGTTGACTATTGACTTCGAATGCAACCCCCGTTGTGACGCCCTGTAATAAAAGTCTGACTGGGGCTAGTGATCGCTGGTGATAATTCTCGTCGTCCTTATCGCTGCATCTTACAACTGTCAATTCTCGTTAATGCATTTGTTGCGTTATGGTGAGTTGAAATTCTTTTCATTAGTACAGTTTCAGTTTCCTTTCATGATTTGTCGGTTACTTCAAAGACTTTGCTAGTTACTGTCTATTACCGTTACCTTCTATAGCCTTTCTAACGGTTGCAGACTTTCGCTCAAGAAGTTTGACCCAACGCTTTTTTGTACATCTGTGACCTTGTCGCACTACGTTCTCGTCTGCCATGATTTTTTTTCTTTTGCAGTAGTCTGTTTATGTCGTAGTGAGACATCCAAATGTACAGTCTCGACTCACTTGAATCGAAGGCACGTACGTAGGCGAAAAAAGAACTAATTTGTATTAACCGTTGACCAGTATGAATGACCATGCGAATAAGTTTCTGTCTCAAATTTGTGAATTAAGCAGCTTACTGGCATTAGATTTGAGGAAACTATAATCTGAATTGTCGAAAATCTCTGCGATCATTCGACATGTCTTTGTTCTGCAACGATCACGAACCTTCGCTATTTTCATTTTTGGAAATTCTTGATTTGATGGCATCAATCAATAGCACTTCGTTCGCTCGAGCCCTAACCACTTTGCTATATTGACTTTTGTGGTTCAAACAGCCCGACATGCATGAAAACCTACATGCTAGCTGAAGTGCTGGGCGTATGTGTCGAAATATAGTACGGGTTCTTCGAAAAAGAAATATATTCCATTAGAAAGGAAATTGGACCTCTTTAAATTTTGAAAGTTTTTACTTTGATGCCTTGAATCATGAGCTATCTGCATTCATTGGACAACTGTCTTATGGTTATCCGAAAGAGAATTAGCTTACTGCACGAAAGTCGTTTTCTTTTTTTTGTTTAATTTTATCGCCCTTAATTTGCGGAGCTTTGCTCATTCTCGCATGAGCGAATATTAAAGCTACGGAGGTTTAAGATCAGAAGTGCATTCGTTTGCTAGATTGCACCTTGTACTGTCAAGTATGCGCGGAAGGAGGAGGAGTCCCTTAATTTTCTCATTTATGTCCAGCCAATCGCATATGAAGTCATGATGTGTCTAGAAATATGTGTTTGTCACTCACGAGCTCAACATTGACCTAAATGGACTTCGGTATTTTTGCGTATTTACTGTCGAGACTGAGACACAAACTGCCATAGGTGAGCAAAAGATCTATGATGCTTTTGAAGCGTAGACTGCTCTCTTTCTTGGTGGCTAATTTTGAGTTCGTGGCCATAGCCCAGCTTCTAAAAATAGAGTTTTCATAAAGCTAACTTTCTAGTACTCACGTGGTTTCCGCTAAGTCAAGATAACTGTCACACAGTACAGAAAGCTCAATCTCACTGGGCATATTTTGATTTTGAAGTTTTTTTTTGTAGGTTTGCAAAAACAGTCTTCTATGGAAATTTCATCCGTTACAAGATCGTACGAAATTTGAGCGAAATTCAAGAATTCTGATCTTGGTGATCAGAGACTAGCTTCCTGTAGTTTTATGATGCTCCACACCTTGTTTTGCATTATGTTCAGTGGTTGTAGCGTAAACGAATTTTTGAGCAGCTACTTCAACAAGATTTCAAAAACCACAATCCGGAAATCTATCCGGAGGTGATCTAGACAGCTCACAATCTCCATCGATAGACATAAGAAAATCCAGGTCTTTTTATGTCTGTTTATGTTGGGAAGTAATATAACACGAAAAAATTTTAGGAAGGGCCTAATGTAGCTCGTTAGCTCAACGAAAATTTTGTTGTAAAGTGCTGTCATAATGAATTTTCTTGGAGAATATCCATGCATGATGATATCTGCTAGAAAACATGGATTTTTTTGTTTCGAACACTTTCTTGTTAATTTTGTGTGCTACTGTTTGCTTATCCTTCAGGAATGCGCCTTTTGAAATTTCAAGGGCAATCATCTTGACTGCCCGCTCATTGATGTCTATTTTTTCGGATATAATTACACCCATAACTTTCGAATACCTTTCACCTAGACATCTTCTCAAATCTTTTACCTCGATGGTTTCGTAATCATGGTCCAATCAACCACCAAGCAAGTCGATGTTTCTAGTTTTTCGAAATTCGGAAGTATTACGAAATATCTATTTTCGTGGTTTATAGGATTACAGATTGGGCCGTAATGTTAGGTTCAGTCCGACCTTGGGATTTTTTTTTCTGCAGGTTATGGTTATTTGTACAGTGGGTGCTTGTTCTTTTGAGGTGGCATCTCAGAATGATAGCTGGAACTAGAGGGTGTCAGGAGTTATAAAGGATTTGTAAGGATTGAAATAATGTTGACCTAATGTACTCGAGAAGAGGACGTTATGTCCCTTTTAGGCTTCCCCTTCCAGGACACAACAGGTACAAACCATGCATATCGGTACGTTACTGCTGGTTTCAGTTTCGTGATGGAGCCCATCGGCCAAAACGTCCTCTACTCGTTACCTTTTACTTAAGTCGTTATGAAACGTTTTTGACTCTTGAAAACTGCTAAGAGCACAGTTCTGAATCCAGGTCGAGATGGTGCAAAAAAATAAAGGGAGGGGTTCTTCTGGCTATTGCCTTCAAGTCTTGCACAAAAATATAAAGAAATCATTTGAGAATGTATAGGAAAATTTGTTTTGTATTATTAGCAATTGGAAACGTACCGAATGCTCAGGGAGATAACTCAAAACTTGTAAGTGTTTGAATTCGTGATTACAGCCTTTTCTCTTTTTAAGTTTTTTTTCCCAGACCAGGGAAACCTGGTGATACTCAGAATTGCGAATTTTTCTGATATCTTGCTGCAGGAGAGATGAACCGACCTATTAATTGCCTTGATAATTTTTTTGAAGAATTGGATCTTTTACGAAAACCTCATGTTTAGCTTGGAATGAGCATCACATGCACTAGCTGATTTGCAACTTGACGGCTAGTATAGTAATCACAATTATAAAACTTGGTTTTAGTTCGGTCTTCACTAAGAATTCACGCCAGTTTGGATGGCGCCATTGCGATACGTGCTATTATGGATGGCTATTTTGTCCGTGATGTTAAATTTTGCTACTTTGATCATTAGTTGAGATTAGCGCAACTTCTCCCCTTTCCGTTACGTCTAAATCTAATGAGCATTGAGCGAAGTTCCTGATTCTAGCATAAAGTGAGATATTGTTGAAGTCGGGTGTAGTTTTCTTAGGTAGGTGCCAGAGTAAGCGAATATTTTGTTCAGCTTTGTTCAGCTGCAAAAGGCGC